GCCTGGGGAGGCCCGCAGTGGGCACCAAGGCATGGGAAGCCCGGGAGCCCCTGCGGTGGCAGCAGCATCGTCAGTATAGCATGTCCAAACAACCTCAGAGATGTCCCCGTTAGGGTTATTGGCCAAATGCAGAACTTCCTCCTGAGTCTCAGCTGGGAACCCTGGCCCAGCACAACAAAGTGCCCCTGTTGGGTCCGTCCCCAAGTCAAGGCGGCCTGTAGCCACCTGCCCAGCTCTGTCCAGGCTCTTCCTCTTCCTGAGCTCCATATTCTTTACATTTTTTTCTGAAGTCAAATGCAGCCTTGTGTCTGGGGCTGATTCTGGTATCTGTGGGTGCCTGGCCGGACCTGCCGGCTCAGTGCAGACAAAGCCACCGAGCAGTCTGATGACTTTGACCCAACCCCCTTCACACCCAGGGACTCTTGTCCCCCAGTGCAGGCTAACACTCCCCACCCGCCTCTCCTGGCAGGAGCTCAAGTCCAGGTGACCCTTGCTGCCGAATGACCTTGAGTGGGGTGCCCTGGCTGCTCTGACATGGGGCTCCTGCTCGGCATCCTGTCCAGATGCCCACCCCCGTCTGCCTGCAGGGCTCCCCTCCCAGCTTTCCCACCTGTGGGCCGTTCTCACCCAGCTCTGGCCAGATGCTGTCTGGGGCTCCTGCCCATGCAGGGGAACCCTGCCACCTCACCCCTCTTTGTGCCTGGAAGCCCCAGTCCCGGGAGAGCGCTTGCTCTTCCTCACCCCGAGGGTGCCCGGGTGGCGCGTGGAGGGGTGTTTGCTGTTGTCATCCTTCCTACTTTCTCATTCACAAACACGAATCTTAGAAAGAACAACAGAACACCTTGCCAGTGAAGGACTCGTCTCTTGTGGGTCTCGTGGGTTTCAGACCACGCAGAGGGAGCCATCTGCCTGGCACTTCATGGAGAGGTCCCAGGAGATGCAGGCCACCCTGCTGCAGCGTAACTCTAACCCTGCAGGGCCAGTGGCCTCTCAGCCTGCTGGGCGGCGCTTCTGTGCCCGTGCGGAGTGTCGAAGGCAGGCCTTGCCTGTCCACTGCCCTCTGCTCCTGGCATGTGCTTGAGACCTCTTGCAGAGCACACAGACCTCCCGCAGAGCACGCAGACCTTCTGCAGAGCACACGCAGCTGTGCGTGCAGAGTGTCCCCTCAGCCTCAGGAGCCGAGTGAGGTCTCCCTCAGGGCTGCCTCAGCCGATGCCATGCTGAAGGTTACCACACTGAAGGTTAGTGACATTCAGAAGTGCAGACAGAGCACTGTGTCACCTCAGCTTTAAGTTTTCTAACTTGCTTTGTTTGTAGACACTCAGTAAAACAGCCTGTACATTCACTTCAGAGGGGCGTCCCGCTCATCTGAAAACCCCCTCCCAGGCCAGCTCTCGGTTGTGAAAGTCAGGCTTCACCAGGTTGGAAGGGTGTTTTGGAGGAGCTCTGATGTCTTCTGATATATTTCTTTGGATGTAAAGGTCATTTAACCTGCTGTAAGCCTCTTTCTGCCGGATCTTTGCAGATACCCCCAGAACTCCTGTAAGATTCAGACCAAGCAGTTTGCTCAGACCCCAGGAAAGCTTATCTGAGCTAGTGAGAGGATTGCTCCTGAGAAGCAGGGGACAGTGACCTTAAAGTGGGCTGCGGGTCTGAACGCCGACCACTGGAGAGTGCTCAGGAGTTGAGCGTGATTGCTGCCAAGTGGGGAGCCCCTGCCGTTCAGGAGGGACGTGGGGATCCGCCCAGTTCACAGGCTGCGGCACTATCCTCCCAGGCGCCCTCAAACTTGCCGGGTCCCGTCTGCCTCGGGACTCACCACACACCAAGGACATCAGCTAACGGCAGGTGTGCCTCACACAGCAAAATTCAACGCCTACGATTTTTCAGTAAGTTTTATCCAGAGATTGTGCTACGCTTTCTAAGAAGACTTATGTAATAGGTGCCATCCTTTCCACTCACGGAAGGAAGACATTTGGCTCATGGAGACTCAGAGGGCTTTGCACTGGTGAATCCAGCTGACTTTAAACGTTTGTGTGTGTGTGTGTGTGTGTCTATACACCCTTGCTGCTAAATGCATGAAAACAATACATTTAGGATATACAGGGAAGTGTGTGTACACATAACATCAAAGAAATTGGCAAGTGGTACCTGTGTTCTGCACCTTGCTCATAACACATCTTGGGTACCTTCATCCCTGCATGTTTAGAGCATCTCTCTCCTCTCCCCACTTCTCTTTATCACCCCCTTCTCCACTTCTCTGCCTCCTTTTTGCCCCCCACTCGTCTCCCCCACCCTTGTTGGGACACGTCATGACTTCATCAGACCCTCCCTGCTGATGGGCTTCTAGGTCATTTGCTTGTTGGTGCTAACACACATAATGCTGGTAAGAATATCTTTGTGCATATATATTTATCTTAGTAGTGTTTTTATAAGTGTATCTATTGTGTAATTTCATGCCATTAGAATTACCATGTCAAAAAGTACATGCATTTTAAATTTTTGACAAATATTGCTAAATCTTCTCCCAAAGAGATGGCTCCATGCACACCCCCCTAATAGATTGTGCATCTCTCCTCATCAATTTAGGTCATCAGAACTTAGTTTTTAAAACCATCTCTGTTCCAGTTGGCACTCCTTTTATTTGGGTGGCATTGAACAGTCTCTCTCTGGTTTGCTGGCCACTGGTTTTGTTGTGTGTCCCTGTGAAAGGCTTCAGCTTTAGTCTTTTTTATTCAGTTGTACAGACTCTTGCAAATCAAGGATACCAGGGCTGGGCTGTAATACTATTCCAATGTTTGTTTTGGTCTTTTGATTTGTTTTGTGCCATGAGAAGAGTTGTTTTTGATTTTTTTTCTTATTGAGGTAAAATATACATAAATGAAGTTTAGCACCTTAACCATTTTAAGTGTAAAATTCAGTGGCACTAAGTTTATTCACAGTGTTGTGTGGCCATCACCACTGTCTACAGCATTTCTAAAGCTTTCGCACCACGGGAGAGGGGAGACTGGGAGGCACAGTCGAGCGAGTGTCCAGCTGCAGGTGTGGGGACACTGGTGGGTGTGGAGGCTGCCACCGGGAAGGCTGCACGAGGGCCACCGTGTTTGACTTGCTGAGCGGGTGCCCTGGGACAGGGGCCGGAGGCGCAGGAGGTGGAGATCCAGGCAGGAGTGGAGCTCGGGGGCAGCGAGGGGACAGGGACAGTTGGAGCCATGGAAGTGTTCATGTCAAAGAAGCTGCAGAGAATAAAGGGACAGACCCTCAATGTCTTTTATCCCCTTTCCAAATGCCTTAATTTTCATAAATAGTCTTTTCTCCAAACCAGTGCCTCTTAACTGGGGCAGAGGCTTTATGCCTCCCAAGGACAGGTGGCAATTTGGGGAGACATTTTTGGTTATCACAGCTGGAAGGGGACACTGCTGCAGGTATCTAGTGTGTAGAGACCAGAGACGCTGCTAAACATCCCAGAGTTCACAGGACAGCCCCGTGACAAAGAGTGACCCAGCCCCAGATGACAGTGGTACCAGGTTGAGGACCCCTCATGGAGAGCCCTGAAACCCTCTTGGGCTGTGTCTTCTTACCTTCTGTGGGCTGAAGTCCTAAATACCCCTCACCCCCAACACTGCCCTACAAGAAGCCCTGATTCCTGCACCAGCTTCATAGTTGAAAGGGTGGCATTGTCTCTAATGTCTCTTTCCTGGCAGAGACTCCCACAGAGCGTGTATGAGGAAAGACTGCCGGCCTCATTACAACATGCGGGAGCTGATGTGTCTACAGCCAGGTCCTGCTTAGGAAGTGCTTGGTGGCCCCATAGGCTGAGCGGGTAATGGTGAGGCTGTGTGCGTGTGTAGGACGTGGTGTGGATGGGCCGCCGGTGGCAGGAGGCTGCCAGGAGGGAGATGCCATGCGGCTGGGATGAGCCAGCAGCTCACAGAACTAGACCCCCTCATCTGACCACCAACCCCGCTCTGTACATTGAAAGAAAACCTATGAATAGATTTGAATTGAGAACTGGAGACAGAGGCATTGTGGGGATTCCGAACACAGCGTGTACAGAGTCATCAGGTTTCATAAGCACAGGCGTGGAGTCGACGCACTCACGATGCGTGGTGTGCTGGCTGCAGAGCCTCTGCAGGAGCAGGTGCAGGGCTCCAGTCATGGGGAGGGGCAGGTGGGGACATGGAGGACACTGCCCACGCTGTGACAAGGGATGGTGGACACAGAATGAGAAGCAGGGAGGGTCTGGAAATCGCCAGGCCTGTCAGGGCAGAAATGACGATGCTCTAGATCTGTTGTCACACTCACTGTCCTCTTTCTTCCTTGGAGACCGGCACCAAACCCCAGGCTCCTGCCTCTTCTTCGTTCCAAAGCTCGCCACACATTCACAGGGCCAACCGCTCCTGGGGGGACAGCGGGGCTGTGTCTTCAGGACCCGTTTGGCTTTCCAATGTGGATGTCTAGTCGGTAGTGAAGGGCACACAGCGTGCAGGAGGAGCCTGGTCAGCCCTGCAGCGGGCAGAGGACGTCACAGGGACCAAGCGAAGGCACGGCTGGTAGTCAGCCCTCCTGTAGAGCAGTTGGCCACACGGCCAGTCCCGGTCTCGAGGCTGACTCACGGGAACGTGAAGGCAGATGTGGAACAGCAGGGCTCGTGCCAGGCCTTCATCCCGAGGGGTGAGAGGAGGGGTGAGGGAAGGGCCGGGGGATGCCCACCTTCCATTCTCCGTCCCCCACCCCTCTGGGAGGTCCAGCAACCTCTAGACGGACAGCCACTAATGACGGCCTTTCCACAGAACAGCAAAATCAGATTTCTCTTGTGCCAAAATATAGAAGAACGTGTACCAAGAGTGGATGAGTTGTAGGATTTGGTATCAGTCTTTACGAGAAATCTGTTTTCCTACTTTCCAGATGAGTCTCCTTGAGAGCGTGTGCTGCCTGGTGTTTTGCCAGAGCGCTGAGCTCTGACCCTCCAGCGATTGATTAACTTGGTTTTCTTTTAGCCGACAGCAGCGACGGGTCCAGTTCTGAGGATGGCAGGGAAGACCAGAGCCTGAAAACCAAGAGGAACCGGTAGGTGCCACGTCCTGTCCTGTGTGCCTTTCCTTAGTAGGCGCTCGGGGTGTGGGAGACAAACGGTATCGGTTTGACGGTACTTACTTTGAGTAAAGACTAATTGAACTGCTGAACAGATGGCAAAAGTCCTCAGATTCTCTCTCAGCAACTGCTCTGGGCACCCCTTCGAAGCAGGTGTCTCTGGGCACCTCAGACGCTGTGCACACGGCCTGGTGCCCCACGCCCAGCCCCGGCTGCACCCCTGAGCCGTGTCGGAGCGGTTAGGGTGGGCAAGGTGTGAGGTGGTGTGTTTGCTTGGTGACAGAGTGGGCTTAAGGTTGTCAGCCTGGCATGGTGCTCCAGCTCGGTGTCCTGCTTGCTCAGTGACCTCAGATTTCTCATCAGTAAAACGAGATGAGGCCTGTGTAACTGCACGTTGCACTGGGTGGATGGGAAGCTCTCCAGCCACACAGGTGTGTCACCGCTTGGTTGTGGTGGTTGCAAAGCCCAAGGGTGGGGAATCCATCTTTTCTATGAAACCAGGGGTGACTCTTAGCCCTTCAATCCCTTCTGTAAGGCCGTTGGCCAGCCCTTCCTTTCATACTGAGTTTCGCATAAAGGGGTAAAAGTGGGGGATTAGGAATCTAAGTTCCCCAGAACAGGAGAGATGGGTGGGATGACGTGGCTGCTGGGGCACCTGTCTTGGGCAGGGAAGCGTGGAGTGAGCCTCACAGGTGTTTCCTGAACGAGCTTGTTGTCGGCCCAGGCGGTGCCCGTGTGGGTGTCCCGTCAAGGCCTGGGGCTCATGCGGCCCAGCAAGTGCATGCACAATTGCTCATGCACAGGTGCAGCCCCTCTCTCGGGACATCCTGGGCCTGCGACAGGACCAAACGCAGTGTTGAGAATGTTAGCATTGCATGTATTTCCTCTTTAACACTGTGCCTTAGAAGCAGCACCATGTCTGCGAAAGCAAACGCTTGCCGCTTCTCACCTCTTCAGTCCTTCATCCCGTGGCTCTTTAGCAAAGGACAAAACCACGGTGGGGGCAGGAGGGAGCAAGAACTGGTGTGGGGTCGAGCCGGTGGGCACCTGACAGTGGGGGCTCCAGGGCAGACTCTTCTCTCTAGCGGACACCCACAGAGTGGCAGACCTGCAGGATTAGATACCACAGAACTTTCCAGACAATGCAAAAAAGGATAAGCACTGTTCTCCCTAACTCAGGGAGGTGGTCTTGCAGGAGGTGGGAGGTCTCCCCCTCCCTGGGCTTATGGTGCCTGGCCCCACGCTCAGGCTGCCACCGGGCAGGGGCTCTGTGTGGCCCTGGCTTGACACTTCCCGCCCCTCCCATGGGCCTGTTTTCTTGCTGCCCCAAATCTTCTCCTTGGAAAATCTCTTTTGGGATCAAAGGACACTTGGGGATCCGCAGGGGTGGACACGAGGGCTCCAGGAAAGGGAGCATGTGTCATCTCCTGTACTCACGTCATGTGTTCAGCACGGACGCCAGCTGAGCCGGTCTCTGCTGGTCTGGATGTATCAGCTCAGTCTGAAGAACACGATGCGCTTCCTGCGGCATAAGAGAAATGGAGGTGTAATGATTTTTTGATGAATCTTGAACCTGCGTAGGAGGAAAATCTCAGCACGATCCCAAGTGGCTGGGATGTCTGCCACATCGCCAGTCTTCATTCGCTGTCCTGTGGGACTGGCCTCGGATTCTCAGCAGTTGGCATTTCAGTAACGTCAAAACATTAATTTAGGTTTTAATTATCTGAATGACGTCCATAATTGAAAACTAACTTTGAAACAAACGCGGATGTTTTGCACGATGCCGCCCAGTTCTGGCAGTTGTACGTTCCCACGTTCGTTTCTGCCTCGAGGCTTCTGTGTGAGGCGCAGGCGTCCCTCAGGCTCCCCGGACACTCACGTGGGGCTGCCATGGGCGGCTCTGTCCTCCCAGCACCATCTGGGAGGAACACGCTTGAGTGGTCATTCGGCAGCGGGGCTGAGGTCCTGGTGTGCCCACCAAGTCCTGATCATTCCCTTACGAGCCAGTTTACAAAGCCGCCCTGTTCTTCCTGGAGGCTCTGTCCCAGGCAGGTCCCCAGCTCTGCTGCTGCAGCACCGTCTGTGCCCCGTGCCCAGAGCTGATCGTCCTCAGCATCTTATCCTTCTTCAAGTACCGCTCGACCTCCTAACTGCATTTATGTACTTTTACATAGTAGGATCTGGCACGTGTGGTCAGACAACATGCCTCCATAGAGCCTGCTGGAATCAGTCATTTTTGACCTGAGCTTTTTCTATAAATAATGTAATTTTTCCTTATCAAAAGCACTTAAAATCCTCCTGCAACATGTGACTCACTAGCAACTGTATGATGATGTTAAAGAAACAGGAATAAACTGCAATGAAGGTCGCTTGGGATGCTGGTCTCCGTTCCCTGCGTTTCTTACGGACCCTGGCACGATTGATGTACGTTTGTGACATTTACACATGATGGAATTAAATCAATTGTGCCAATAATTCAGGCCCAAATGATACTTTTCCTAAAATTCCTTTGGAGGAGAAATATGTCACAATGACAAGCTTTCAAATTACTAAAATATTTTAAACTCCCTGGTGGGTGCCATTTCAAATAGCTTGTTATTTACTATTTCATGGAATGTGCTCATGATGCATGGTCATAGATCTTCCCCGGGACCAGGAAATTGATTAATCATTGCATGTCCCCTTTAGCGCCGTGCCCGAAGGTCCCCCAGTTTCTGTTGTGCACGCCTTTTTATAGTTCAGACCTGTTTTTTTGAATGTGCTGTCTATTTTAGAGAGTTGGGATTTATTTCAAAGAATCACAATGAATTAGGGACTCAGCAAAGGTGTGTCATTTGGTTTGAAAATCAGAATGAACTTATCCACATTAGAGAAGTAATTGCCAGTCATGTCCATGGCTTCGAGCCCCTTCATGAGGGGCCAGGTTTTGCCAGTCATGAGCCTGGGGATTTCTGTGACATTCATAGCTTTTCACAGCATCAGAGAGTAACACTGTTCTTTTGTGTTTTCTATCATGGGCCAGATGGCCTGGAAAACATATCTCTGTTTCCATGACATTTGGTATAGATTTCTTGTACTAAGGGTGACCAAAAGAAATCTCTTGGCTTCAAATATTGTTTATCAAAGTAGTTTGTAAGCTTTGGGGATATCCAATTAATGGCTTTGGATGTGCGTGGTAAAGTTGACCTCCTACCATAAAATTGTGACATCAAACCCCAACACTTTCCTGGGGCTCTATACAGCTTTGGCTGAAGACCCAAGAGCCTGGCATGAGCAAGAAATGTCCCTTATGGTCACTTTCCTCCTTGCCCAAATATGCCCTCCTTTACTCTTAGCAAACCAAGGTGGCCATGGTGTCCCTAAAGCATTTCTTTTGGATGGCACTGGGGCATAAAAGACTCTGGGCCACTCTGAGGAGGTAGTTTTCATAAGAAATCCCCATCCTAATGCCCATACATAACCGTGAGCTGCCTTCTGTAGAGCCGTGTGGCTATAATCTGTCTACCCAGGGTTCTGCGCTCCACCTGGAGGTGACCTAGGGTAGGGTGGGTCCTTCCAGAGCAGAAGGAGAACACCACCATCCAAAAGACAGAACAACTCAGTGATAACTTTTGATCTGCATAACACAATGCCCAGTCTGCAGGCTTTGCAGCCACTACCCCTGAGACAGTCTCCAAGTAAAGCCCACTCCCCTATTCAATCAGAAAGCTGCTGCTCCCTGATGCAAAGGACAATAAAGAGCCATCAGTGAGCATGTTCAGCAAGGAGCGGCAGCACATGGTGCCTCTGTCTCCACAAACAGAGCATGAGATGAGCCCCTCTCACATCTGCAGAGAGGCCTTCTAGGATCCCAGCGCCATTAACTAACTATTGAGAAAGTGAGAGCATCACTTCTTTGAAAATGCTTTGCACTAATGCTATAAAATGTGTGGACTCCAAGTTAAAATGGCTATGAAATTATGTCTTTAACTTGTGCCTAGACAGCAACAGAATTATCTGCATCCCAGTGTCAGCACCAGCATCTCATCTAATTCTCTGGTGACTTCATGACACAGGAGAGTGCAGCGTCTCTCTGTGATCTTCGACCTGCATGGAAAACAGATTATTAACATCCTCTTACCTTTCACGTTACTCTTTGTATTTAGTCCCTGATTGTAGCTGATCAGTTGGTTCTGTGTAGAAGCCTGTGGTTTTATAAACAGTATTGAGTCTGTGCCATCTGTCATTAGGGCCTTGTACGTGAGACCCTTTATTGGTATCGCCCATGAGAAGAGTCGGTGTGTGAGCAGCAATTTGTCATGGGGTTCCAATTTGTCTTTTTAGGCTGAAGCATAGACATTCCCTGGAATTTATTTACTTTTCAAAAAGGCCTATAAAACGTACGCATTTCTGAGAGGGATGAGTAGACAGTCAATGCTAGGTGCTAGTCGTGAGACCCGTGTCCTGACACAGCAGGTGTCACTTCCTAGAGGCTGGGGAGACAGGCAGGCTTCTCTTCCCCGTTTCCATGAAGTTTTTCACTCAAATGGAGATAAATCTGAAATCTGAGCCCCAGGAGGCCTGTCTAGACTTGGTTCTAGAGTGTTTGACCTTCACGGTCTTCCTCAGTTCTCTCTTAGGTCCTCTCGGCCTGCCATTCGCGTCACCTGGCTTCGTCACGGAGTAAGCTCTTGGGATGTGCTATCATCACACTCTTCACACAGCGCCGAGGGAGGGGGCTGGGGGTAGTCGGGGCCTCCTGTGCTGGCAGCGGGCATGTGAACTCTGAATGAAGCCACGGTGTCCCTGATGGGTCTGACCCTCCCTCGCACGAGTAGGACCTCCTTCCATGAGGGGCTTTACTTATGCAGTCAGAAGAACCTCAGATATCTGCTGTTTGCTGGGGAACTTTGGACCTTCCCAGCTTCTGGACAATCGTTCAAGTTCAACACAGCCCCCCCCCACACGTAGGCAGGTCCTTCCTGCTGTTTCAACTG